GCTTAGTCCTGGAGCATTCTCTAATCATCAGTGCTCTAGCCATCGCGGCAGGACCTGAGGAAAAATCAAGTAGTCCGTAAAACTGTAAAGATCGCGAGATGAAGGTTGGTGGTACATTTTCGTATGAGCGCATTGTTTTCGACTTCTGTGTTCTACGAACTATAACGAAGGGAAAACATTGCTCCTTGGCCCCCTTGGCTCACCAACAATGCACTGGAAGAAATTACTAAAACAATTTTGCGAATTTAATGCGCAAAGGCAGCTCAGATGTCGGATAAACAAACTTTCAAACTTATCCGAAGAAAGTTATTCGGGCAGCATGCCTACGTTAAGCAGTCGTTGGCTTCATGATGAGCAAAACCAGAATAATCTGGTGGCCATACAGTTTTTAAGACCTTATAAGGACAAAGGGTTCTCGAATTTTACATGCCTTTAGGATGTCTAGACCATATAAATCGGTAAGCAAGTAAGTTCTTAAACATGTGGTTGACATGACATGGTCAGCAGTTTCTTGGCTTTTTTTGGCGAAGATCGCCAGTTGGCCGTTTAATTAGGATCAAAGTTTAGTTTTCTTATCAGTTCGGATTAACACGTCGGCGTTCTAGGTTCGCAAGGAACGTGACACCTTCGGTGAACTGGAGGTACCAGCGGACAAATACTATGGAGCACAAACTGCTCGGTAAGGAATTCACCCTTCTTGGAAAGAATGATAATACTGAATCTACTAATAGGGATGTTATTTAAATTTTGTGAATTTGTCTCAAAAAAGGTCAGTTGGAAAGCGATTTTGACAGTTCTGATGTTTGGTGTTAATTAGAACATCAATTTTGCAAGGATCACACAAGGAGGGTGAAAATTTGGTATGATTTGGTTTTATTCCAGTTCACAGATGAACTTCAAGATTGGAGGTCCGGAAGAACGTATGCCCCTTCCTGTAGTGCACGCTTTTGGAATTCTGAAGAAAGCCGCTGCAATGGTAATTTTTAACGTTTCGTTTTTATATCATTACTAGTGATTGCTGTCATTACTGAATTGTTCTCTAGGTCAATACGGAGTATGGCCTTGACAAAAAGATTGCTGATGCCATTTGCAAAGCAGCCGGTGAGGATTATTCAGACTCAAAACATTTGGCCTTCAGCTCATCATGTTAGCATGACCTTATATGTTATGGCAACCACTGAGTGAATTGTGACGAGCGACAGCTCTCAACTGGTTTCTCGGTGAAATTTCGGTGTTTTTGCGCCGATCAGTGCGCTGGTTCTTACAATCGATATGACAGTTGTGATATTTTGAGCTACGATGTATCATCCGATGTGAAAGGGCGCTCGTTTTTTTTGCAGATGAGGTCACCGAAGGAAAGCTTGACGATCACTTTCCTCTGGTCACGTGGCAGACTGGATCAGGCACTCAGTCAAACATGAATGTGAATGAAGTCATCTCAAACAGGTTGGGCTTTGCAATGTCTAAAAATTAGCGTAACGGAAGGTTAAAGGCAGTTTTTTTTCTAAGTGGAGAGGGTGTAGGCTATGGTGTGGCTTAGATGGTCGACTTATGAAATTAAGTATCTCAGGGATAAAAAAAATCTGCTGGACGTGATTCTCTCTCTCTTGATGCTCTCTTTGAGAAGGTCGAGATTTTCTTCCTTCTTGGGAAATTCGTCGCATTTCCGATCAATAGGTTTTTGCGAACTCCTTCTCGCAGACGTTTGCAGCACTGACAGCTGCGTGGCATTAATGCCACAACATTTTCTTATGACATAGTAGATGAAACGCTTGCTGTCATATTTACGACCTGTGGACCTGAAATAGAACTTTCAAAACATCAAGGGTTTTTTTACTCAAATGTTCATTTATGAAGAATTGGTGAGAAAAGTTACGGAGAACGTGAACGAAGGTGGAGGGCGAAGGTGTGGTGTAAACATTATTGGGTTTTAAAAGCAGGTCATTTTTTTCCCCGAGAAAATTCTCAGTGACAGTCAGCTGTCGGGCTAGAGTCTTCGATTTGGGAGCAAGTCGTATTTTTTTAGTGGTGCGCTACTTTGTTCAGATTGGTACTTGGTAACAATTTTAATGCGTATGGTATAGACAGAGGGCTGATAAGTGAGAGAATGACCTATTCCTATGTCTGAAGGCTAAAGGTCTTACATGGAGGAGGATATTACCGAGAGTAAGGAATAGAGTAATTCTATAAAAACTACGATTTGATACGTGTTAGTAAGGCGGTTGCGATGGTGGCGCGTAATTATTTACAACGGGCTGACAAATGTTTTTGGCCGCACGAATAGTAAGGCTCAATTTATTATTGAGATTATTTATAATAATTATTAATATTTATCCCATTGAACTACTGAAATGCTTTATAGGGCAATCGAAATGCTCGGTGGAGAGCTTCGGCTCAAAGAAGCCCGTTCATCCCAACGATCATGTCAACATGAGTCAGTCAAGTAATGACACCTTCCCGACAGCTATGCACATCGCTGTTGCCAGAGAGGTGAGGCGTATGAAGTGTAAGTCTTTTCTCAACTCATCTCTATAACAGCGTTCCTTTGAAGATCAACAATCGTCTACTGCCTGCTTTGAAACAACTTCGTACATCGCTTCACAACAAGTCTGAGGAGTTCAAGGACATCATCAAAATTGGCCGCACCCACACTCAGGATGCCGTGCCGTTGACACTTGGACAGGAATTCTCGGGCTATGTACAACAGGTTTGCGATTAAATTACATGTTTTCTTTTTAGACTCACAGTACGAATACCTGAGTGTTTACAGGTAGAAAATGGAATTGCTCGTGTTGAGGGCGTGCTCCCGCGTCTTTATGAATTGGCAGCTGGTGGAACTGCGGTAGGAACTGGTCTTAACACTCGCAAGGGATTCGCAGAAAAAGTTGCCAAGTAAGTTCATGGAATTTTCAAGGACCATTGAAGCGAAAGTTCATTTATGTAACTGACTTCTGCGATTAGGACGGTCTCCGATCTTACTGGGCTGCCATTCAAGACAGCACCAAACAAGTTTGAAGCCCTGGCTGCGCACGATGCTCTTGTAGAAGTTCACGGTGCACTGAATGTGCTGGCAGCTTCATTCATGAAGATCGGTAACGATATCCGCTTCCTCGGCTCTGGACCAAGGTATCCCTTACAGTTTGTAAGGCTTGACCAAGGCTGCGAAATTCACATAATTGTTCAGATGTGGTCTTGGAGAGCTGTCTCTTCCTGAGAACGAGCCAGGAAGTTCAATCATGCCTGGAAAGGTCAATCCTACCCAGTGCGAGGCCATTACTATGGTTGCTGCTCAAGTTATGGGAAATCAGGTGAGGAAGTGAAATGTGATCTGGAAAGTTAAGAGAAAAATTCTTACTTTAGGTTGCTGTGACGGTAGGAGGATCCAATGGTCACTTTGAACTCAACGTATTCAAACCACTGATGGTCAAGAATGTTCTTCAGTCGACAAGGTATTAGGGAAAGCTCGGATGAGCATTTCTTAGATTATGCCTTCTTGATCGACTTAACTCTTATAGACTGCTGGCTGACTCAGCTGTCTCGTTCTCTGTGAACTGTGTTGATGGCATTAAAGCCAATAAGGACAATATCGCAAAGGTCAGTTTTGTTAAGAGTTTTTCTTCTTCAACTGCTTTTTTTCTTTCCATCTTCCTGCTAGCCTTTTTTCCTCGACGTATTTCCTTTGGAGGATGTTTTATCTTTCAGATCATGCGCGAGTCTCTTATGCTTGTCACTGCCCTCAATCTCAACATCATTTGGTGTACGACAATGCGCTAAGATCGCTATTAAGGTGCGTTTTAAATGTAGTTTTTTTGATAGGAAAAGCTACCAGTCGGTTTTGCCAAAAGGACCTAGTAGTAACTATATTCATGTTTAGGTTTCAAAAATATCCGACCACAAATCTTTTCAGATGCCGCTCACAATAATGGCATCTTACTCTCAAAGAGAAGCGATCAAGCGCTTGGCAATTTTAAAAAAAAACGAAGATACGTCAAATTCGAACAGTTTGGTGAAACCCGAGAACAATCTTGACCTCAAGTGAACAAGCGACATTCAAGTGAATCGAAAAGGGTGTCACATTGTTGGAGAAGTGTTGTGAATATACGTAGTTCTTGACCGCCGCGTTTAAGTACTAGGATTGTAGTTTGTATTTGTTTTCTGATGTTTCTAAATATAGATTTAGCTGTTCACTCTACAGTATGCTTCCATTTATAAAATAATAAGCTGATTCACAGTATTGCGTTACTGTAGTGAGAATATCCACAGAGCTTTGAGTAAATTATTGATTCTGACTCATCGCATCGAAGTGCAAAAAGCATCAGCAGCACTAGAATGCGCCGATATATACACTATCTGATGCGCAGGGAGAGAAAAAAGTTAGCAAGGAATGTAAACTGTGAGAGACTGCCTAGCTACAGATCATGGCCATTTTTCGACGGCGCGGCGGAAATTTTAACAAAAATGATTGCAACTGAAAGCATCACACAGAAGGATTTGTGTCATCGCTCATCTGTGATTTCTGATGCTTCCTTATCGATAAAGTCATTTTTTACAGACCAAAAATTATGGAAATTGATTAATTAAGGGTGTTCAGAACATAAGTTTTCCTATCGGGCTGCGGTCTCGCCCTCTCTTTCTTTGAGAGGAGGGAAGCTCGTATGGGCA